AGGGGATTTCCCTCTGTTGACACTGTACGTGACAATACACGCGGTAGTAGCCGAGATGAAGCCCTCAGACGGCAGGGGTGGGCACAACGGGGGTGTTGAGTCATTTTATATTGAAGCGTACATTTGTTCCGGCACGCTCAGGTTACGTTTCACATGTCTCGGAGGAAGCAAAACCCAGAGATTTCACCTCACTAACAGGTGTGCAGAAACCTGCCACTGGCAATAGTCCTGAGCCAGCTCCATCCACTCGGAATCCCCACAGAGAAGGGATATCTGAACCCTTCAATGAAATTCGCGCCATATACCACAGACTAGCCATGACACCCGACTTTCCGAAACCAGAATTATTAAAATGTTTAAACTGCTCAGCATTCTCATGAACATAGATCTAGTGCCGTTGACCACGTTCTTTATTTCTTTTTTTACTGCCGTGGCGCCGCGTAGTGAATGCTTGACGATCTAAACGGTTGCTACGCGACAAAACGACGCTGGGTATAGAGTGTTCTTGCGTCATAACCAGGTTACGGCTGTCTAGCAACCAGACATGAGCCTGGTGCAGACGTTGGGACACCCCTGGCTTGGAGAATCAGAATAAAGCCGGACGGAGAGATCAGATGAAGGAAGTGTTGCGGCTGCAGAAGGGCAGGTCCCTGTGATGGGCCTTTGATTGTCAGCGTGACTCTTGGACACTCAGGGTCCAAACGGCAGTCATGGAACTGGGTCTTGTTACGGTTCTGTGCCATTTGCTCTCATCCCTCCTGCTTTCCTGCCTTCTCTTTCTACGTCTTCCAAGCTGACATTTCCAAGGAGCTTTACGAATAAAATGCCATGATCATTTCCCGTCTAAGCCATCATAGTCGTCGGTCCAGTGTGTTATAAACTTCTGAACAGGACGTTCCCAGCCGGGCCTCTCGAAATGTTTGACAATTTTCTTTACAGATGTGATGAGTAATATTCTCGTGGCTAGGTTATGACGCGGTGCAGACTGGTAGGAGGACAGAAGCGTTTCGGAGGAACACACATCTGAAGATACCCAACAGGTATGCAGCCTCCATCATGATGTCACAAGTTACTTCATGTTCCAACGAGAGATTGATACCTCCCTACCAGACTATATGGCGTCAATCCGGAAGACCGTAATGTGAATTGTGAAACATAATTTTGTATTTACGGGCTGTTAAGAGAGTATTTGAATCCACACAAAAGCCTGACATTAGGGCGAGCTCACAGGCAGTTCCAATGATGCATCAAGTACACACAGCTGTTGTGTCGTGTAAAAAAAAATACAAATATTGTCAAAGGCCGCTTTGGAAAATAAACTATTGAATAGGCAGACCCCTGCGAATAAATCGCTCTTTAATTAAAATTGCAAATATGAAATTTCCCTAATGAGGAGAGAAACAATCTCTTCATTGGTGAATGCAGGCTTCCCGTTTTGCCAATTGGAATAAAAAGAGCGTCTGATTCTTTGAATAACTCGAAATAAAACCTCATACCACAGATGACACGCATTTTGGGTGCTGCATTAAATCACGTGTGTGCTACTGGGCTCACAGCTCAAACAACAATCGCATTTACAATTTTAAAATTTGTATCTGGATTGGTTCCCTCTAATTTAGACCCTGTCCACAGGAACCCACTTGCCCAGTAAAATCCTAGAAAAATATTCCGTTCAATTGTTTATTTAAACCGTAATTAGAAGATCGACAAGTGTTTCAGATTACGCGTGTCGCCATGATTCGGAGCTTATCGAGCACACACTCCTGGAAGGTACAGACAACAGGCAAACGCCATGCTATCGATCGATCATATTTTGTTGCTGTATTTTCTATTTTTGAAAGTTCCAACAGGAATGGATTTTCGTTTCGTAAATGCTTATACTCCATATAAGAATTATTTTTGGATATAGAATTTATAATACTTGGTCTGCGACGTTTTTATTAACCACTGTAACATCCGTTAAAATTCAAAGGGAAGCCTCATCATTTGTTACCTAAGCTTTCCTCTGATTTCTCCTATATTAATTTTCAATCCTGCATGTTATCGAATGATACGTTGAGGCCGACGTTGAACGCCTTCTCCCACGAATAATACTCACAAACGATCAAACTTATACATCCACCTGTTTCCGTCACACATACATATCAACATATTATCAGTACTCACAGAATAGACACGATACAACGAAACAAAATATATTTCTCTACTTTCTGACCTACTATATTACTATATTCACCCTCAACAGTTCACATTTTACAGCTCTGTTTACATATCTGGAAGGACGATGTTTTTAAAACCTGGAATGATTAAGAACGAAACTAGTAACGGAACTCACCTCAGGTTTTGACAATAAAAAATACTTATGAGAAAATATTGTCGCGTATTGGGCGTATAACGCGACAAATAACTTCACGATGTATTTGATGTAGCGAATTTTATTTCACATTCGCACTTACAATCACCCCAATTACAGATTTACGATTACTGTTATCTGCAGTATCACAAATAGTACACGCCAAATGCCACAATACAACTGACTGGTTGCTGGCTAACTCAGAACTAACTCGGAGGTAGCTCGAGGACTCACTGACTGACTGTGAATAGCCTTCGCTGCTCCTTATGTAGCCTTGATCGGACAATTGTCGTCTGGTGCCTTGTTGCTAGCCACGCTGTCCGGAGTTGTTGACTGCTGCCTAGCAACCGCGATATCCCTCGGTGACGTCACCGCTGTTGATTCGCTTTGCATAGCTTCAAGGTTGCGGGGACTCGGCTAACGTCGGCTCCGCTCGGCTCACTTCGGCTCCGCTCGTGACGTCATCTCGCGTTGCGCGTTGCATAGCTACCAGGATGCGGGGTGATTACTCGCCTATTACGCGAGCGCTACGTTACAGCTACGTGCAGCTGGGGAGGTAGGGGTCAACATGTCACAATATAATAAAACTATTGGCACTTGGTAGAGTGTGAAATAAATTTTCCTTGTGAATTTGCGCCCCTGACTGCCTCGATATTAATTTAATCCTGACACAAACCCATGGCTTCAGACACAATTCCCTACACCCACAGAGGACAGGCCGCAAGACAGGGGCAGACAGACGTTCCATCAAGTTCCAGAATCCCGCACCGCCTTCAGAAGTGCCCAACACTGGGCCCTATTCTGAGCCCCACTTTTAACATCCATTTTAATAGTATTCTCACATGTACACCTAGCTACTAACAAATGATTTATTTCCTTCAGGCTTTCCTAACAGAAGCCAATGCCCATGCGTGCTACAGACCCCTCCCATGCCATCGTCCTAATAATATCCGTCGAAGAGTACAGATCCTTGAGTCCTTTACGCACTTTCCCCACCCTGCGGTCACTTCCCCTCTCCTAGGTCCAAATATTCCAATCAGTGCCCTGATCTCAGCACTGTGCCACAAGCGGGAAGGTCGCGGGTTCAATTACCTATGAGTTCATTGGATTTTTCAATTGACCTAATCCTTCCAGCGGCACTATGGGCCCTGAGGTCGACTCAGCCTATAACAGAAATGTGTACCAGGAATCTTCCTACGGGTAAAGGGCGGCCGGCTCCTAAGGCTGACAAACTCACCGCCATCTGTGAGCCGATTGTCTAGAAAATGTGGGAGCATTGACGTCTCACAGCCCTATGGGCTCCACGGACTCTTAAAGGGATAGCTTTACTTGCTAACCTGCTGTGTCCCTCCCTCAGTACAGAGAGTAAACTAGGACGACGTTTAGTCGGCTTCATTTGTAAATAGCTTGTGGTGCGCTTGTGGCCCGTAACAACAGAACCACAAGCTGACTAACCAGGACGCTCCCACACGTGAACTGCCCCCTGCCGTATGGAGTCACTTCAGTGGCCCCGAGACCAGGCCCAGTGTGGGGCGAAGCGGCTCACACAGCGGGAAGAGCTGTGCTCAGAGAGGCAGTATGGTGTGAGTCGGGCAAGGGTGAGCAGCGGAACGGATCAGTCGCTCCGTGAGAAAGTGAGGCACGTCTGCAGACATGGCGAACCTCTTTACATTCTCGGAGACGCATAACACTGATCATAATGGCCTTCAAAATGGACAGAAAAATCAGTTTTAAGATTTTTAGGTGTTAATAAAAACCTGTAACTCAGTAAATATGTGATGTTGTGTAAGTAGATGTTCACCGATGTTTCGAAAGACCATAATGTCTCCGTCTTCAGGATTGAGTAGTTTGACAGGCAAGCAACCAGCAAGGCGTAAGCCTAATCTTCGACCCTGAAATTTGTCTCAGTGCTTTCCTCTGAAATGTCGATAACTTGTACCGGAATACACGGCGTCATGTCACGTGGGGTGAGAACCTCAGGTCCAGCATAAATAAATATCACATATCAGAATCGCAGTCACTGGCTGTGGGCTAGACGGCGCGGGTTCGAATCCCAACTTGCCCACCGTCGTATTCAGACCGGCTCTGGGGACCATCAAACCTCCTGTTCAATGTGTACCGGGGGCACTTTCCCCGGGGTAAAGCTCACTGAACACTCACCTCCCTCAAGTGTCATGGCCAAGAGTGAGGGGAGTTTTACCTCAACTCCGCCACACGTCTTCATGGCGTGGTGCTTAAAGACAGACACAATTTCACCTTCGCGATGAATTAAATTCAAGTCTTACAAGCAGGCTATGACGGACAAGCATCAGAAATGTGCAGCAAGCGAGTTATATAGAACGAATCACTGTGATGACAAATACACAAAACGTAATGTGGGAGACAGACAGGCTAGACTGGAAGATAACATAAAAATATATCCTAAAGAATTATGGGACATAAAAATTTGGACTGGAATCAAATGGCTCAGGGTAGGGATTAATGGCGGGCGTCTATGAACATCCTCTGATTGCATAAGAGGCCAGGAGTTTGTGGGGGAGTGGTTGGGATGCTATCGGCTTTACAAGAACTCTGTTCAGTGACGTTAATCAAGTAAGTTCACTTTCTGGGGAGCTGTGCCGAGCGCACTGGAAGGTTCCGAACTCACACTAGGTATGTTGTCGTTGGTGCAGACGCCCTCCGATAGCAGACGGTCTCGGATCTCCCATGCAAAAATGGAGGGGCACTCCCTCTTGTAGTCCGCTATTTTGTTCACTACATTGGACGTGGCAACTCTTGGCTTCGAGCCGCCTATTGCCCGCGGCTTGATTGAACCAGTCTCGTAGTACCTGGAATTTGTAAGAAAACATAAATTTGTCATTTATTTCCCGAAAATTCGCGAGGCATTTTGCTAAAGCAACCTAACACACACCTAAATTACTAAATGTTAGCAAACAACTCAGTTTTTGCGTTGTATAGAGGTACACACTTTTCTGAAGGAAGGTTTGCTAATTCGTTTGTTGATAGGAGAAGCAAATTCCATGGTCGGAACTCGTTATATTGATGGAAAGAATTCACGATATTAACTTTACTTTATAATATATAGCGGTGAGGTTGTCAGCCTCACTCACTGGCTGGACTCCCTTTACCCCAAGAATATTCCTGGTACTCATTTCTGTTAGAGGCTAAGTCGACACCAGGTCCATAGTGCGGCTGGAAGAATCAGGTCATAAAAAAAAAAATCCAATGACCTCATCGGGACTTAAACCCGCGACCTTCCGGCTTGTATCATAGTGCCTCAACTAACTACGCTACGCGTGATCCACGTTATGCAGACCGCTGCTGGGGCCCACCCAATTGGTACCAGCTGCTCTTACCTTGTGGGGAAATCGGTGGGAGGGGCGTGAAGCTGACCACTCACCTCCAGCTAGTGCCGAGTCAAAAAAATGTGGATCTATACATCCACTCCCCCATTCACCTTCATGGAGCAGTGCTTAATTAGTTAAGCACAGGGACAACTTTACCTTTAATTCAGGTATCAGTTGAGGTGCGATGTTTCTGTCACCCAAACCCCTTAACTCTGGAGGCGAAATTATGACTAGCCCTTTCATATTGCAGTTTTGGTACTGCGTTAGATGCAGGAACGTGGCGAGACTCCTCACCCAGCGCGGGCGCGGGTTTGTACGAGGAGGGCCGCAGTAGCACCATGCATACCGCCATGTCACGCAGTTACAGGCCGCGAGAACAAGCAATGTTATAACTGACTGGCAAGAGCTTCCTCAGCAAGTAGAAAGTGTTTACCTGCCCAGGATCTTGGAGACGCAGCCGTTGGAGACTTGCAGGATACGAGAGATGTCACATGGCCTTGCGCCCGAGTGCGCCAGCTCAACTATCTTCTGCCGGGTGCTGTCGGGGAGGGGCCGGCCGTTCACGTAGACCCCACCGAGCTGGTTGATTCCGCTGTGGCCTGCAGCAGAGCATCCAAATATGGTACTAGCGCCTACGTGATGTTCCTCCTCTGGCGGGCGGACAACAGACAGAGAACAAAACACAGTGTTACAAAATCTGAGGGGGCGGCTAACCCCCGTCCTGCTACACACCCCTTTCTCCGCTTCACTTGGGTAAGAGAGAAGGGATATTGCTCCAAAATACATACTCATTTCTATTTTGAGGCAAAATTATCCCTGGCCTTAAATACTTTAACGCCACGCCATGAAGATGTATAGGGGAGCTGAGGTATAGTTCCATGTATTCTCAATTAACACATTAAAGGACGAGTGTAGTTCAAGGTTACTGGGAAGAACGTCTTGACCTAAGGGAGAGGAAGTAACAGGAGGAAAGGGGTAATTGAGGGGCTACGTAATTTGAATGCTTATATTTCCCTCAAAATATTTAGACACGATGTAAAATCGATGACAGTAACATGGCTACGGAATTTATCACGCGTGGGAGAGATGAGAAATGAACACAAAAATTTGGTCGGTAAATCTGAAGAGACGAAAATATCTTTTTGGTTGTTTACTTTGCATCGCTGTCAGTAGCTGTTTTATATACTGGATTCATCTGGGTCAGGATAGCGTCCCGTGAGCTCTTGTGAACGCTCCGGGTTTCATATAAGGTGGGAAGGTTCGTGTATAGCTGAGTTTGTCAGAAGTTTTCTGTTAGTTCCAAATCGCATTCCTCCTCACATACTGTGCGTGCAACGATTTTCATATCAGAATTTGACAAATCATTGGTTGCTATGTTTCATATAGATCCTGCTGTTTGTGCTTTTTCCCATTAACTGTTCCACCTTTCATTAAATTGTAAAACAGACCCAGTGCCCAGGAGCGTCACGTAAAACAATAACTGCCACAGTTCTTGCCAACGAATCATGAATTTAACATGGGCCCCAACTGGGGGCGGGTGCGACCGTGAGCAGGCGTCTCGCCTGTGCGTATAAACTCGTCACACGTCGCCAGCTCTAAACGTTACCAATTTTATATTCTCTCGGCGATGCGTGTGTTACACCGTCCGGTCTAGTCCAAGTCTACCGACGTATCGGAGAAACACATTGCATCCATCTTCAGTGTCTAAGAATAAGCAGCGAGCAAGGATTTTCTTGATCTTTGCTCCTTGCTGATTCTTTAATTGGCTTATATTTCTTCCCCGAAGATGGAAACAGTAATTTCATCCGGAAGACTAGTACGCATCTACTAACCTACACAGCATCGAGTCTCACAGGAAAGTATTCTCCATTGCCAGTTCTAGGCTAATAAGTCCATTGGTGTTTATAAGAGTCAGCTTTCCTCAAACCTCTATATATCTGAAAGATGAGAAGGTTGTTATGCATGAGAAATATGTGTGTCACACTATCTTAGTATGAAAACCGGAAAGAAACAAACTACTTCAGACGTAGATGCGAGGCGAAGGCAAAGTTGCCCCTACGCCTTGTTAATTAAACACGTCGCAAGGAAGACGTATGGAGAAGTGGAGATATAACTCCATATATTCTTAATTGTAGCTGAATGTGAGTGGTCATCTTCACTTCCCGGCAGCTTTTATTCCTGGAGAAATACTTCGTATTCTTTGGATATGAGGCTGGATGGGCCCCACAACCGGTCTGAACTGTTTGCCCCTGGCTGGTAGCGAACCCACACCGTCTATCAGAATACCGGTCACTAAGTCGTACTGTTTCAATTATATCAGTGTTTATTCATGTTTCGTTGTTGCAGTGGCGGTTCGATGCCTCTTTAGATCACACAGTGGAGATGCATTACCCCTCCTCCTCCAATTTTGGGGGTCCGGGGACGGGGCTGTTGCAAGAGCCCCTCTCCAACACCGGCATTCACTGTGGCATAGACAAAACTGCCCACAATGATGTGGTCTATGCCCATTCGTTTTGGTATTTTGGTCCGAAAGCCTGAAAAAGAAGACCTACTTCGGAGAACAAGTTGCAGGCGGGAAAACGGTATCAAAATAGATTCTAAAGACGCAGAGCGGGAGGTGTAGATTAACATTACTTCACTGTTCTGAAGTGGATAATAAATCTCAGGCTCCAAAAGGCTAATGTTCTGGAATTGCCCTGAACACCGAGCAAAATATTGCGGTGGTTTAACCTTATCAAAACCCGAGATTCAGCTAAATATATTTAAAACTTCAACAGTTCATTCCTAAACGTATGTGAATGAAGGTAAAGAGGTAAAGATGTCCCTGTGCTTAAGTAAGGCGTATGGTGGAGTGGATGTATAGATCCACATTTTCTTGACCTCGGCACTAGTTGGATATGAGTGGTCAGCTTCACGCCCCGGCCTCTTCATCTCCGGGGAAAGAGCCCCCAGTACCTATTGGATAGGAGGCTGGGTGGGCCCCAGAGCCGGTCTGGACGATATCTAGAAGTGAAATTTCTTGACCACAACAAGAGCTATCCAGGCTCACAAAAGTATGTGAATATTTGTACAAATTTCTGAAACACACGGAACACACAGATACACTGTGTGGGCAGAATATATAACAATTCAGTCCGTACCTCACAGGAAACACATTACGTCTCCGCTACAGAGTCCAACCGGTTAATGCTGGTTAGGGAAACAGTCGTTGTTTATTGTGAGAACCATACGGAATACACAGATACACTGTTGGGCACCAGTCGACATGAATTCTATTCGATGTTTTTGTCGCTTTAATATTTATTCGACGAGGATAACCCCCATACACATCAAAGATGTCGGAAGGGGATTCACAAATCACCTGTCACCACGGGAACTTATCGCCAAAATTTATAAGATTATTTCGCTTATGTACCATAACTCTCTAAGCACTTCGATTAGGCCTAACTGACCCAGATTTTGAAGAGAAACTCTTTTATCTTTCTGCAGTGGGTCTGCAGACTGCTAGAACCTAATGTCGCATGGCAGAAGGCTAGATTCGAACCTCCTGCTAGCCTCACTTAGTACTTCTGTGATTATCTTCTCTTTCTCCAGACATATAACCTCAAATTAGGCTCTTCCATAACCTATTCTTTCTAATTACTTTACTAATGATCCTACCTTTGTACGCTGAACTACTGACAACATCGTTAAATTACTCGTATTTTTTCACCCCCTTGGCACTACAGCCCCAGTGGGCCTAGGCCTACCTCCATGAACTTCTCCGTTCACTTCGGTAAATTACTCGTATATATACATAATATTATACCGCCTCTGTGATCTAGTGGTCAGAGTTCCTGCCTACAGATCCAGAGGTCCCGGCTTCGATTCCCGGCGCTACCAGATTTTCTGAGAAGTAGTGGGTCTGGAACGGGGTCCACTCAGCCTCATGAGGATAACTGAGGAGCTATTTCAAGGAAATAGCGGCTTCGGTCTAGAAAACCGAGATTAACGGCCGTGGGGATCCGATGCGCTGACCTCGCAACACCCTCTATCCGCAAAAGTTTGCACTAACTTCGCAGACAAGCGGCGGTCGCTCTTTCGGTATAGTTTGCTTGCGGTCTACAGGCCACGGAGTTTGTTTGTATAAACACAATGTTAATGTTGCTACATAGACTACCCAGCTCAGGTGGTTAAGCAGGGGTTAAGGAGGTTTTCCTCCCAGTATTTTTTCTGGGTTTCCCATCTAATGATGATCCCACCATTGTCGCATACCCATCCGTTACAGCCCTGAGCAGGCAGCACATTATCACATCCTGGGTCTGTAAGCCTGCAGCTTCATCCCTGTCCTGGCTCTTGGCAAGCTAGTAAGATCTGAAGACGGACGAAAGTTGGCGGGACGTCAGTGGAGGTAGCCCACACTGCCTTGTATTTGGTAAAGCAATACTGTTAGAGTAGGAACTGCGATTAGGCAGTGTGAGAGGCTCCAAGACCACCATGTATGAAATTAAACCTGAATACGAACCCCATTAGTGCCACCCCCGCTAGCAAGCTTACTTGTATATGAAAACTTTGTTTTCGTAATCGGATACAAGCTGTGTCCCCCCTCCCAACCTATCCCCGTCGTTTGTAAGCACAAGACGTCCCCCCCACTCCCTCCCCCAGATTACACAAACTCTCTATGCCCCACGTAGTCGGATTTAGCAAGCGTTTCAATTGCTTCTTATTACCCGGGGGCCCGAAAGCACGCCTCTCCTTCTGCCGCGGCAATAAGCACAGAAGATGCAAGCGGTTCAGTTCGTTACGTCCTCGAGGCATTGACTGTTGCTCCTCTTGTATCTTGCGGTCCTCCCTTCTTTGTTCGTCCGTTTGTTTGTTTTGCTTATCGTTCTCTGTGCCCGGTGGGTAAAGCGGCAGGGGCGTGAAGGTGATCTCTCATCTCTATCTACTGCCGAGTTCAAGAATGGTGGAGCTATACCTCCACTTTCCCACACGTCTTCATTGTGTTGTGCTTAATTAATTAAGCAGAAGGGAAATCTTACATTTACGTATTGTTGTCTCTCTGTGCCGTTTGTTTGTGAGTTCATTAAAGCATTCTGCACTCAAGGCAGTGGCCACCGTAATGAAACATACGTCTCTATAAAAGGCTGGAAGCCGGTCACGGTAGCCTAGCGGTCTCAGGCATGTACTGTCTTCGCTCGCCTGGAAACCGGGATCGTGGGTTCGAATCCCACTCAGGGCATGGATGTTTAGTTTGTATGTGTGCGTTTTTCTGTGTTTGTGTACAGGTAGAGGCCTTGCGACGAGCTGATCACCCGCCCAAGGAGTCCTACCGAATGTGTAAGATCTAGAAAAACCGAAGTGAACGGAGAAGTTCATGGAGGTAGGCCTAGGCCCACTGGGGCTGTAGTGCCAAGGAAGAAAAAAAAAAAGCTGGGAAATTTCTTGAGTCGTTTAGTGACTGAAAGCTTCTCGAGAGAGGTTCTGCTTCATGGAGTCACTTACATCACATTTCAGGGACGGTCGGCTTTGGGCCCAAACATTTCCAATTTATGACAAGAATATTAATTCCCCTGAATGATGCTGGAAACTGTGTAAACAGAAAACGGTATGGGTTCATTTCGGTCCACAACCTCATACTCTGTTTCGTTTAGGTGTCCTTCCATTCACT